TTTTTGCATCTATGTTCATTAAAGATTGGTCTGAAGTTTTCTTTCCTTGATATGTCTTTGTCTGGTTTTGGAATCAGGGTGATACCGGCCTTATAGAATGAGTTTTGAAGAGTTTCCTCTTCTTCTATTTCATGGAATAATTTGAGGAGTATTGGTATTAGTTCTTCTTTGAAGCTGTGAATCCATCTGGTCCCGGGCTTTTCTTGGTTGGTAGGCTTTTGATAGCGTCTTCTATTTCATTGCTTGAAATTGATCTGTTTAACTTGTGTTAACATCTTCTTTTTCTAGGGCTTTAAGATGTATTGGTATGACATTTTATTTGTTGACTTTTTCCTTCTTTTAAGGAATGAAGTCCATCCAATGAACTTTCTTCTTAATACTGCCTTTATAGTATCCCAGAGATTTTAATATTTTGTATCAGGGTTTTCATTTGCCTTTTAAGAATTTTTTATCTCCTCCCTGATATCTTCTGCAATCCTTTGTTCATTCATACTCCAGGTGTTGGAGTAACTTCTATTTTTTTTTTTTTTTGTTTTATCATGATATCATTACATTCTGGTAAGATAGAATGCAGGGTAGTATCTGTGTGTGTGTGTGTGTGTGTGTGTGTGTGTGTGTATTTGCTAAGACTTGCTTTGTGGCATAATATATAGTCTGTTTTGGATAAGGATTCATGTGCTGCTGAGAAAAAAATGTATTTACTCTTTGATGGATGGACTATTCTATATATGTCTATTAAGTCTAAATTATTGATTGTTCTATTGAGTTCTATAATATTTTTGTTTAGGCTTTGTTTGGAAGATCTATTCAGTGGTGAGAGAAGTATGTTAAAGCCATCCATTATTATGGTGTTGTGATCTATTTGATTCTTGAAGTTGAGAAGGGTGTGTTTGATGAACATAGATGCCCCATTGTTTGGGGCATAGATAGTTACGATTGTTATATCCTATTGATGTATGATTCTCTTAAGCAGTATGAAATATCCTTCTTTATCCCTTTTCACTAACTGTGGTTTGAAGTCCACTTTACCTGATATGAGGATGGAAACCCTGCTTGTTTACATGGTCCATGTAAGTGATACATTTTTTTTCCCATCCTTTCACCTTCAGTCTGTGGTTGTCTTTTCCTGTGAGATGAGTCTCTTTAAGGCAGCATATTGTTGGGTCTTTTTTTTTTTTCATAAATTCAGTCTGCCAGTCTATGTCTTTTAATTGAGGAGTTTAGGCCGTTCACATTTGGGGTTATTATTGAAGCATTGTCTATATTCCCAGTCATTATTCTCTTTTAATGCTGAGTAATATATATTGTACATATATACCACGGGGTTTTTTTAATCCATTCATCTATTGAAGGGCATGTAGGTTGGTTCCACAGTTTGGCTATTGTGAATTGTGCTGCTATTAAACATTCATGTGGCTGCATCACTATAGTATGCTGATTTTAAGTCCTTTGGGTGTAGACCTGAGAGTGGGATAGCTGGGTCAGATGGTATTGTGATGCCACCTGCTTCACTTTTCTTGCTAAGGATTGCTTTGGCTATTCTGGGTCTCTTATCTTTCCAAATGAATTTCATGATAGCTTTTTCTAATTCTATGAAGAATGTCATTGGGATTTTAATAGGAACTGCATTAAATCTTGGTAGTGTGGCCATTTTGACAATATTAATTCTTTCCATCTTCTAAGGAAAGTTCTTCAGTTTCTTTCTTTAGTGTTCTGTAGTTTTCATTGTAGAGGTCTTTTGCCTCTTTTGTTAGATTGATTTCCAAGTATTTTTTAATGTGTCTTAATGTAGCAATTTTAATGTATCTGAGAGTGTTTTATGCTTCTTAATTTTGTGTTATACTTTAAAAGGCCTTTTCCTCTAAGATTATTTTAACTATTCCCCACTGAATCTTGAAAGTTTTCTTTTTTGTTTTGTTTTGTTTTTGAAAGTATATATTATTGTGCTAGGAAAATAGCTAAGCTGGTAGAGTGCTTGCCTCACATGCACAAGGCCCTGGGTTCGATCCCCAGAACCACACACATACAAAAAAAAAAAAAAAAAGGTATGTTTTTATCAATTTTATGAAAATATACTTTACATATAAGAAAATATACCCATTTTAATAATGGGTTTTGACAAATGTATATACTAGTATCAATACAACTAGTAGTACAATTAGGTTAAGAGAACATTTCAATCAAAAAATTCCTCTCAGGGGTTGGGTTGTAGCTCAGTGGCAGAGCTACAGTGTGAGGGCACTGGGTTTGATCCTTAGCACCACACATAAATAAATAAAATAAAAATTCTTTCAGGCTCCTTTATCATCATTCCCACTCTATCAATACCCCTAAGTCCAGCACAAAAATATTCTTATTGTTGCTGGGCACAATGGCTCGTGCCTATAATCCTAGCAGTTTGGGTGTCCAAGGCAGGAGGATCACAAGTTCAAAGCAAGCCTCAGCAAAATCAAGGCACTAAGCAGCTCAGTGAGATACAAAATATGGCTGGGGATGTGGCTCAGTGGTTGCTGCCCCTGAGTACAATCCATGGTACCCAAAAAAAGACAAAAAATACTTATTGTTTTTTCATTGTCTTTGAATCTGTGTTATTTCCCACTTTTAATTTCTTATTTGACCCTTCTTGAGTAATAACTTTGTCTTTTATTTCATTTCAAAGAATCAGTTCTCTTATTTTATGTATTATGAAGGACTATTTATGTCTTATGTATGTATTATTTTTTTTCTTTTAAAATTAGCTATTTGAATAAGATGCCTAATCACTGGTAAAGGTGTGAATTTTTCTCAGAGCACGTTTTTAGCTGAATTCCAAAGATTCTAATATGAAGAAATTGTCCTACCAGGCAGCTTGCATTTGTTTTGCATGTGGTTTCTTATGATAAAATTTAGAAAGTCAGTATTTGCATCTTAGAAGTTGCCTTTATAACTATGGCTCTGGTTTCTATTCATAGACTTCTTATCAGGAGCACTGACAGAATTTATATACAGACAGTTCCTAACTTACAATGGTTCAACTTGTGATTTTTCAACCTTGCAATGTTGCAAAAGTGCTACCCATTCAGTAGAAACCATACATAGAATTTTGAATTTGGATCTTTTCCCAGCCTAGTGATATGCAGTAGATCTTCTCTCACAATTCTGGGTGGCAGCAATGAGTCACAGCTCCCACTCAGCTGCAGGATCACGAGGGAAAACCACTGTTATCCATAGTGCACTGTGTTGCCACTGCTCTTACGTTATTGAATTTTGAGTTCTCGCATCCCATCAAGTCTACAAAATGCTCACGTGTGTGTGTATGTGAGATATTTAATACTTTAGCATAAAACGGTCTTTGCATTAGATGCCTTTGTACAGCTATGGGCTAATGTGTTTTGGGAACATATAAGGTAGGCTAGGCAAATGATGCTTGGTAGGTCACTTGGATTAAATGCATTTTGAACTATGATATTTTCAACTTAAAATAGGTTTATCGAGACATAATCCCATGGTAAGTAGAGGAGTACTTACTCTTCATTTTCCCACTTCCACACCATTCACTTGATCATATCATCTTCCTTAGTATTTTCCTTGCACTGTTGAATAGACATTTTACTTCTGCCAAATTGTAAAAAGTTTTAAATACATTCAGAGCACGTTTTTCCCTCTGGTTGTTTTTAATCTTTATTCTCTCCTTTGTCTGCCTCCTGTCTCTTCCAGTTTTTAATCATCTTATCCAGAGAAAATTAGGGCTTAGTTGATTGGTGAGTAACCTGACAGTTGAGTCCACAAGGAAAAAAAGTTAAATAGGTTCTGTCACCACCTGAAACTTTTATCCCCAGGAAACTCAGAACATCCTGCCCAAGCTCATTGAAAACACTATCCCTAGACTTAGGCATAGCCCCTGACCCTTCTCTTAATGTGCCTAAGTCAAACCTTAGGGTTCCTCCAGCTGGGGAAAACCACTTTTGTTGTTGTTATTGTTCTTGTTTATAGTACTAGACGCTGAATCTAGAACCTCACACTTGCTAGGCAAGTGTTCTATCACTTAGCTACATCTAGAACCTGCCCCTTCCCTCCCTTCCTTCCTTCCTTCCTTCCTTCCTTCCTTCCTTTTTTTAAGACAGGATCTCACCAGTTGACCAGACCATCCTTGAGCTTACGATCCCCCTTCTCAGTCTCCTGAGTAGCTGGGATTACAAGCATGTGCCACCACACCTGACCAGGGAAAATCTCTTTAGGCTAAACTCTCTGCGATTGTAATATGGCCAGGTTCCTGAGTACTTATCTCCTGCATTTAAGTTGTATATCCCAGTTTGGGCAGATGTTTTCAAAGGAACAGTTTCAGATGAAGTTCTGGCAGAGACCTTAAAGGCTTTTCTGTTTCCATCCTGGACTAACTTTCATTCACACTTGAACATAGCCACAGCCCTCCCTGCCCTGCTGTGCCTTTTCTCCACTGGGCTTTTCCCAGCCTCTATAGTTCAGACCAAAGGAAACAGAGCTACCAGATGGTCACCTAACCAAGAGAGCCAGTTCTGGTCAGCCTGATGTCTACAAAGGTCTTTTATACCCTAATGTTTGAAACTCCTTTGTCTTTCCAGGGAACAGACATGGTGTCTATTTTTATTTCTCTCCTTAACTCCTGTTTCTTTTCAGGCCCATCTCCCATATCCCATCTGTCCTGGGTCTCCTTTAACTTGTCACTAAGTGCCCCACTGTCCCATCATATGCTATCAACATGTCACGTTCAAAAGGCACAAAGCAGGAAGCAAAAGAGCTTCCTTGACTCAAGCAAATGAATCTACTTCCAGGCCTTAGGGAAGAGGCAGGAAATAGTTTCAGAGGAGTCTTTTGGGTGACCCTTGACCCAAACTGCACTGCAAGGTTCTGACCAGGGAAGAAACTGCTGCAGGACAGCCAGGAGATCACACAGCACAAACACTGGACCAAAATAACTTTGGTTCGCAGCCCAAGTGATTATCAAACTTGGTCCCTTTCCTTCCCAAATCAACCATTAAGAGTTCACATATCATCATTTAGAGTTTATTTAGCCCAATGTGTAATGGCAGAGGAAGCAGCGTGGGGCAGGGGTCTTCCCCAAGACCCCTCAGTCATATCTGAGTAGCACATTCCCTATCCGTAAAGTGAGGATATTGGATAATCCCTAGTTGTTCATAGGTTCTGAGAATACAGGATCTGAGCTGGGGAGATGGGTACGCAGAGCCCCCAGGGTCAGCCCCCCTGCGTGTACAGTGTGGTGAGCAGTTCAGCTGGGTGGAGTCTGACTGTTAGGTAGATCCTGAACAGACTCCCAGGAGGCCCCTCTGCTTTTGTCCCCTCCTGGGAAGAAAACCGTGGCATATGTCACAGACTTGGAGGACATAGAACCTTAGGAGGCAGAGGAGGTGAGGATGGGGATGGAGGTTTCCCAGGTGGGCAATCAAGAGGGAGGCTGGCGTAGGCGGCATTGTCGAAGGAAAGTGATGAGTCAAGCCGAGCACATGGTGCGTCCAAAGGCAATACAGCAGTGGGTCCAGAATCGTCGATGTGGTGGACTACTGAGGAGGGGCCCTGCAACAAAAGCAGGCAGGTCAGGCAGAGGGAGTGCCCCCCATGCCCCAGTTACCTTCAGTGGGAAGCCTGGGAGCACCCTGGATATCCATCCCTCCACCTCTCTCCAATCCTAAGTATGTCTGTCAGTGGACAGGAGGACTTTGAAAGTTGATGAATATCTTCAAGACCAAGTTACTCCCCAGATCTAGGGAGGTGAGTTACCCAGGTGATCACTGGGGCCAAGTTTATAGCATTTAGGAAGAGGACTGGGTCCCTCTCCTTTCTCCACCTTATCATCCTGGGACCTCTCAGCAATTGTGATGAATGGAGACTCTGGGGGAATTTGGTGGTGGACTTGCAGAGGCCTCTTACCGTGCCTGCAACTCTCTGGCTTGGGAACTGGTCATAGACTTCAGGCCTGTTCCCTGGCAAGACAGACAAAAGCACACAGTCTACTTCCAGGGCTGACTCCCACTCCCTCACTCCCTTCAGAAGCCTTTGAAACTTTTTTCCTAGTGCATATTTGCCTGCCCCTTCCCACCGCTAAACCTCTAGCCTTCATCTCCCAGACCCCTCCCCCAGTCTCCCCATCTCTCCTCACCCATTTATTGCTTCCATATTCAGTCTACCTCCTAGAACCCTTCCCCTACTTATTCCATCCCCTTTCTTCTAATCCTCATCCCCCATTCTTTCCAATTTGATATTTCCCCAGGCCTGCCCCCATTGACTCCCTCCCTCCTCTTCACCCCTCAGCTATGGGAATTCTAGGGTGTGGGTGCTTAACTAAAGCCCAGACAAGTCTTTCTGTAGCGGAACAGACCTAGACTCCTGGCCTCATCTGCAAAACTGGTTGAGGCTGGGATAGGTGGGTAGACAGCTACTGACCTCTCTTTTTGGTCATGACAGCAAACAGCACCACAGCTGCCACCAGAAGGCCCAGAAGGGACACAGCACACCAGATCAAGGGGATGCTGAGGGACAGAAAGGAATAGGTAGACTTAGCCCTGAACCCTATGGAGAGTTGCTAACCAGGAGCTCTGGAACATTGAGAGGAGAGCCACATTCTTGGGGAACCAGGGTTGAGAGGACATGGAACAGGATGGGGAGAGTAGACTCAGGTAGACGGACACATTATCAAGGTCTCCTGGCTGAAGATCCTCTAGGATGAAGGACCCAATGCTGAACTGGGGTAAAGAGATTGGTCAGTTTGTCTGTCAATCAGAAGCTCCCAGGGATGGAAGGAATCCCCCTTCAATTTAGTCTAGAGCTCAAAATAAGTCACATCTTCACCAGTCACCTTCTCCCAGCCATCCTAATCCAGTCTTGCCAGTACCTCTTCTGCTGGCTGGGCTCCCAGGGGCTGGCACTGCCTGCAGGGTCCAAGGAGGGATCCTCAGCCAGACTGCCATGCTTATGGGTCTCCTCCTCCTCCTCCTCTCTCAGGCCAGGAGCTAACTCAGAAGGAAACATTTAATGAGAAACACCCACTGTGGGCAGGCTTCCATGGGTTGTTGGGGTCTGAGGGACTAGGAAAATGGAGCCAAGGAAGGAGAAGTCCTGTGAAAGGGACACAAAGGAGCAGCTGGGATGTCCTCAGGGCCTCTCACTCTGTGGGTTGGGGAATGGCGCTGACTCTTTGTATCTTTACCTAGTTGCAAATGTACCCTCTTTCCTCTGCCACCAGCTCCCTCCCTGTCCCCCTGCATTTCTTCTCCTTTGCCTGCTCCGCCCCGCACCCCCCTAGTCTTCCCAGGCTGCCCAGACTATGCAGAAAAACCACTGAGTAATCTCTGCCTGTCTTCTGCCCCCACCCAGGAAAGGTCTCTCCAGCTTCACCCTCAGTGGTGACCTTGCTCCCAACTCACTGGCCTCAAATGCTGCCTCTCTATAGACCCGTGACCCTGTGGTCCCACCTGAGTGCTGGTCGAGCCCCATCCCAAGCTCTGCCCTCAGGTCAGCATTAATGTGAGGCAACACGGGGACACCCTCTGAGAGCCTCACTAGCACCCGAGACTCAGTTTTGTGACTGTCATCCCTACAAAGTGCTTGAATTCTGGCTACAGGTCTCAGGTTTAGTTGACCTGGGCCAGAACATCAGTTTGGGTACCTGGCCAGTCTTTTCAGGCCTTCTAGGATGGGGCCTCACCTTATTCTTGAGAGATTCACCATGAAAGTGCTGTGGTGCCAATCTTGCTGCCCATGTCCTGCCCTCCTGGTGCCATGAGGCTGCCTTGGTCAATGCTCTCTGAAGCTAGATGCTTGCCTGAGCTTCAGGCCACAGCCCCTGGCTTCCCCATACCATTTCCACACACCTGCCTGAACCTGCATCCTCCTCAGCTGCTACCCATTGCAGAGGGCTCTGGGGACCTGCCTCCCTGCCCCCTCTTCCCAGTGAGGCTTATCACAATTTGCCTTTTAGGAATTTAAAAGAATTCCTTGACCACAGATTGACATTAATAGTGAATGAACCACTATTTTTGTGGTACAGGTTAACAACTCAAGATGAGCAGATTCCACTCACCATTCAGTCTACCCTCTTATTTATGGAATACATTTCTTAATTTTATTCTTTGTGGATTAGACACAAATGATTTGAGAAAAGGAGGAACAAAAAAGTGGAAAAAAAAGTCAGTATCCATCAGAGAAAAGTAGCAGCAGTCCTCACTTTAGGTGGCTGATATTTTCCTCCAGTATAGTTTATTATAGTATCTTATTTTTCTGGTTAAAAAAAATGTTTATTTTAGTACTTAAATACTTGAAAGATGTGGACTGCATGAATGAAATGTAAAAACAAAGTGTTTTATATACCGAAATTAGGGTTGAGAATTTGGGCCTACATATTAATGACACTTTTTCCATTTTAAAACTGAATGATTTGAAATAGTTGAGTTGTACCCTGCCTGGAGGTCACATACCCACTTGACGCTCCATGAAGACTTGTCAGGTTAAGATATGAATTCAGTTCATTTTAGGTCATCAAACTCGTAACTACAGGATGAAAAATCTTAAAGGTATAAAAATTTTAATTTATTTATATGCTGGAATTCAATTTTGGGGGGTCGGGCAGGTACCAGGGATTGAACTCAGGGGCACTTGGCCACTGAGCCCCACCCCCAGCCCTATTTTGTATTTTATTTAGAGACAGGGTCTCACTGAGTTGCTGAGCACCTCACTTTTTTGCTGAGGCTGGCTTTGAACTCGCGATCCTTCTGCCTCAGCCTCCCTAGCCTCTTGGATTACAGGCATGCGCCACCACACCCGGCTCAAACTCAATTTTGTTTAAAACATTTCTAAGGAGGAAAAAAAAAGATAGCATTGAGTATGCTGGAAAAGGAAGCAAAAACCATGGTGTGTGAGGAGGAGCCTCCTTGTGGCAGGGGAACCCATGATGTGGGAGGTGATTTATCTCAGACTCCCACCCAGTTCAGTTTCCGCTCCCTACAGGGCTGTCATGAAGATATCTCTCCCACGGCCTCCCCGCAGGCACCCCCGTCCCTCAAGGCCCAAGAGCCCTGGCCACAGGTGGGGGCTGGGAGGGCAGGTCAGAGGGTGATGGAAGGCCCAAGATAACTCACCCGAGGGGAGCACCTCCAGAGAGACCTGGTGCAACATCTGGGGCCCCAGGGCTCCCTCCACCATGCAGCCGTACTGCCCTGCATCCTCCTCCTGCAGGGTGACCATTTCCACCTGCAGCAGACCCCCTCCCAGGTCGGTGAGAAACATGTGCCTGTCTCCTGGGGCTGAGCGATCCACCCCCGAGGACACCAGGGGCTGGCACCCCTCAGGCGAGAACCGGCACCACACCTTCCGGGCTCTGACATCCTGGAGCCGGTAGTGACACTGCACCAGAATGGAGCCCCCCACGGGCACCTGCAGTACCTCTGGGAGGCTGCCCTCGGAGCCCTGACCTAGGGAAGGAAAGGAGGTGGGAGTGAATGTGGGCTGGGGGCTGGGGCCACCTCCCAACCCAGCCTCTAGCGTGGGGATATGGCATCTGCAGGAACCCCAGCTATTCCTGGACACGGAAGGACGAGTAGCTGCATCTGAGCCTTACCTGCTCGTCCCAGGAGCAGCAGCAGGAGAAGCCTGGGGCCCATGACTGGGCTGGCAGATGTCAGTTCTGGGGTTCGCCTGGTCACTGACACAGCATTCCCCTGAGGGAAGGAAACATCTGTCTCTGATGGTCACATGGGGCTCTCCGTGACCACAGAGTGGGAGGTAGGGACTGGTGGGCATCTCCAGGGTTGGGGATAGGGAGCTCTTCCAAACGCTGGTTGGCTTAGTGCTCAGGATCTGACCCTGCAAGCAGGGGCCAGCAGGGCTGGTGAGAAGACCAGAGGAAAGGCAGGAGCCCAGGGCGGGGGCCAGCCACAGGGGGAGGTAGGGGCAGGATCTCAGAGAAGAAGGAAGGGTGACCTTCAGGGTCTTCCAAATCTGTGGATGGGAAGCTACAAAGGAGGAAGGAACGTGGCCTACTAATGTCCAAGACCAGCTGGTTTTAAGTTATTCACAAATGCCCCCATCACACCCCCAGGGCTTCAGGACACTGCCCCTCCTGAGTGCCCCTTCACAGCCAGTACCGCTACCTCCCTCCGTGGTGCACCTGGCCTGGGGCTGGCTCCTGTCTCCCCTGCACACTCCAGACCCTTTCCATAGGGATCCAAGCTCCTCGGCTCTGGAAACCAGATTACTTCCTTGACAGTTACTTCTCTGTATTCCTTTTCCTCCCTCCATTTTGTCTACAACTTATTAATTAGTTGGATGTGGAATCTTTCATATCCATCTCTTTTTCGTACCTTTGCTCATTTCCGTCTTTGTGTCCATGTTGCTCTGCCTTTTAGGAGATTTCCTCATATTTTTCTCTACCTCTTCTTTTACTATCTTTTGAATTTTTATTCTTTAATATTTTTAATCTGCAAGATCATTCCCTCCCCGCCCCTCTCTTTCTTTCTTTCCTCCAGGCTTTCTTTACTGATGGCATACTAGTTTGTTTCATGAATGTTCTGTCCTCTCTGTTGGGAGACAATTCTCAGTTCTTCACCTTTTTTGCAAAGAGGCCTATTGAGAGAGGAACACTGCGGGTGGGGGGTGACTATGCTCAGTCTTGCCTTGGAAGCTAGAGACAGTGTCACCTCCAGGGAGATTCGAAGCCTTCCCCTTCCTCCCTGGAGAAAATTCATTCATGCTGGAGAACAAAGTTCTCCCTCTTTCTCTCTTTCTCTCACTCCCTCCTTCCCTTCTGCTCTCTCTCAAGATAGACCAACATCCCAGATGCTCTACATAAACTGCAAATCTCATAATTTGGGGTTCCTCTCCTGGGATGCAAACCCACTTCCCACACTGGAGACACCAGGCCTTCATTCATGCAGCCCAGTGCCTGGACTCTGAGGAACAAGGACAGAAAGTGAGTAATAAACTGACCACGGGCACCAGGGTGGACAGCAGCCGTCAAAGAGATTAGAGCTGAGCTGGGGCTGTAGCTCAGGGGTGGAGCACTTGCCTAGCATGGATGAGGCATTGGGTTCGATCCTCAGCACCAAGTAAATAAAATAAAGGTATTGTGTCCATCTACAACTAAAAAAATAAAATAAAATAAAAAGAGACTAGAGCTGTCTGTGGGGACACCTGGGTGGGGCACCTTGCAGGGTGAGGCCTAAGATAGGACTGGAAAAGCCACCCTCCCTCCCTCCTCTGCTAAGAGCCACAGCCAAGTAATATGATGCATGGCATTTTTGGTTGAAAGGTGATGCCAGCTAGCCATTGAGATGATATGATTATGTTAAGATTTGCATTCATATGGATATTGGACTCCTGCTGTTCACCTTGGCCTGCCACGGGACTCCTGGAGAGTTCCCATTGGTTGGGGAAGTGCGGTAGGAGGGAATTCCGGAGGAGGGACTTCCTGTTGGGACCGGGGAGAAGCCGCGTGGCTCGGTCGGCAATCTTCCCGGGAGTGGGAGCATATGGGGCCATTGGTGGCAGTTTCAAAAATAAAGTTTGTTCCTGCTTGAGTGGCTCGTGATTTTGTGCCCAGCCAGACTTCGGCACTCCTCTCCCCTCTCTTGTCCTTCTTTCCTTTAGGCACAAGGGAGTCGAGAAAGGGAAGCTGGCCCTGGGAGCCTGAGACGGCCAACTAGGGTAAGCTGAGCCTAGTGAGGTGGGTGGTAGGGTGACCCACTAGCCCTGCATGCCGGGGACTGAAGGTTTTCCCAGGACATGGCAGAAAGTCCTGAGCAAACCAGGTATTTATCTGTTCTGCCAACACTTTTATTTCCTTGCAAGAAAGTTATTTTCACATTAATAAGCCACCTGGGAGTGTTTTGTGACAGCAGAATTATGTTCAACATTCAACTGAATTCCTCAAATGAATATTGTCCACTGCTGGGACAGAGGTGGCCAGGCAGGAGGCTGGCCTCCAGGGAGGTGTCATGTTGCTGGACAAGACCGGGAGGAAGTGAGTCCATTGAGGACGTACTGTGTACCAGACAGCTGGCCAGGGACTCTCACAAATGATATTAGTTTTAACCTCACAACCCTGTGAAGACGGCCAGGCATGGGAGGGGGAGTGTTTGTTGGTTAGTTCTGTTTGTGGGTGAGGACACAGGCTCAGAGGGTCTGAGGCACTCAGCCTGTCTGGCCAGGGGCAGAGGTCAAACTGAGGCTCAGTGATCTGCGTGCCCTCAGTCCAGGGTGCTCCTGAGCCTAGGGCTGGGGACCCCAGTGGTGATCCCAATCCAGAGGTGGAGGACTCTGAGGGGGCAGAGCAGGGAGGAGAAAAGTCCGCGTTCTCAAGCTGAGGAAGCTCCATTCTGAGCTGGAGCTGAGGGCCACTGTGCCTGACGCCAGGTGTCCTCAACGCCTCCTCCTGTTGGTGCCCATAGGGGAGTAGGTACCGAGGGCTCAGCTCAGTCCTGGCACTTAGACTTTGTCCAGAATCTGTGGGGACAAGGCTGCTGGCCCAGGATGTAATGAGGGAGTTTGATGTGCCACTGAGCCAGGGAAGCCCGAGAAACAGTTCAGCCCAGAATCAGAGCTCCAGGGTGGGGGCCCAGGGAGCAGCCTGAGGGGGGTGGGAGGCAGGGTGGGGACACAGCTGGGACCAGGGGAGTGACGTGAGGCTAGAACGTGACCTCTGTGCTGAGCACCTTCTCAGTGACCCCAAGTCCAACCACCTGGGGCCGGAGCAGAGAGCCCAGGGCTGTGGCCCACTTGGTTCCTCCTCCTGCTGCAGCCTGCCCTCAGGAACCTCACCCCGTCTCCCCCTCACTCCCACGTGTAAGATGAAGAAGCCCCTCCCGGAACACCCTCCCTCATGCTGTCCTGGTTCATTTCCTCCCCTCCTTCAGGGACACCTCAATGGCACCTCCTGACTGCCCGTTTAAAGCAGCCCCTCCCCAGCCCTCTGCAGCCAGGACTCTCCACCTGGCTTTGGTTTAATTTTTTCCCTGGCACTTTTTGCCCTCAGGCAGGGCACACGGGTCAGGTTTCCTGCTGTGTTGTGCTCCTGTTTTTCTCCCTCTTCTTCCCCCAGACCACTCTCCGTGGGGGTGGAAGCCTAGTTGCTGTTCACTGCTGTCCCTGCAGTGCTCAGGATGGTTCCTGGCAGAGACCACCAGACATTCTGAATAAATTAATGGATGAATGAGTGGGACTGAGCAGAGGGAAGGGTCCCTTGAGTGCCAAGTGAACTTTGGATCCCGAGGCAATACTGGGGAACCCAAGGAAGCCCCGTCCCTCTTGGAGCCTTGGTTTCTTTTTAATATGATGAGGGGCTTGGACCACATCTCAGCTCTGATGGGCTGCACTGTGGCCCACCCCTCGTCACTTGTCTGGAGGGAAGTAGCCTGGTGGATGCAAACTTCAGGGGGTGAAAGGATGAGTCAGCCGCCTGCCAGGTGCAGGGCCTTGAGGGCAGGAGCCGTGGAGGGGCTGGTGGAGGGACGCCTGGGGCTGGGATGAGGCTGGTGAAAGGAAAGTGACCACAACACTCTGAGCCACCAAGAGGTCTTTATTGCAGCCGTGCAACAGAGGAGAAAAAGAGTGAGAGAGAAAGAGCAGGGAAAGAGAGAAGAAAGGGGGGGAGAGCAAAGAGAGAGAGGAGAGGAGTAGAGTAAGAGGGATAGTGAAAGCAAGAGAAGACAGAACAAGAGCAAGAGAGAGGGGCCTGCAGGAGGGAGCTTTTTATAGCCCAAATCTAATGGGGTCTCTGGTGTGCAGGCTGCCTTGTTGGCGTGCAGTGTTTGGGTCATACAGTGGTGTCATCTTCTGCCTTCAGGCAGATGGGGCAGGGGCTAGATGTGGGTTTCCAGTGCACCAGACAGGTGGGGGTTGAGTGCTCAGCCTTGAGTGGGGTTGAGTGTTCAGACTTGACGCAAACAGGTGATAAAAGACCAGACAGAGGGGGTTTGAGTGCCTGGGTCATCCTGCAGCTAACATTGGTTCAGCCTGCCCTGCAGACAGCTTAGTTCAGCCTGTCCTGCACCTAACAGCTGTCAATAGTCCCAGGAAGCAGGGGGAAGGGAAGGGGAGAGAGGAGGGAGGGAGAAGCAGAGAAAGAAGGGGGAGGGAGAGGAGAGACAGGGAGGGAGAGGGGGAGGGAGGGAGAGGGAGGGGGAGGGGATGAGAGAGGGAGGAGGGTGAGGAGAGACAGAGAGAGAGAGGGGGAAGGGAGAGGGAGGGAGAGTGGGGAGAGGGAAGGAGAGGGAGGGAATGAGCACAGAGGGTGACAGGAGAAGGGGGACTTAATGACTGAATCTAGGGAAGGGAAGAGAAAAAGGAAAAGGTTGGCCAGATGGGAGCCTTTGAGAATAGAGGGACATGGCACCTAGGACCCCAGGCCCTAAGCAGTGAGATCCTTTAGCTTTCCTTCATCTAAAGTCATTCTCCTAGCCAGGAAGCAAAAGAGAAGACCTTCTGGAAGCCCCAAATCCAGTAAAACAGGACAGTCGTGGATTGACTTCTGAGAGTGTTTAATGTCCAAAGCCCAGGAGTTGAGAAGTGACCTGCCTCCCAAAACACCCCCCCACACACAGACACAGACACACACACACACACACACACACACACACACACACAGAGATACATACACACACACACATACACACACACACACACACACACACACACACACACACACACACGGCCTCCTTCCGGGCCCCAGAGCAAGCAGGGTACAGGCTGAGTGATGTCTTGCTGGGGCAGAACCAGGAGTCTGGAGCGTGCAGGCTGGGGTGGCCCCTGGATGGCCTCTCCCCAGCTTCTCCCATCTGGGGTCCTCTCCTCTCATGTGTCCGTGGGGCCTGCAAGGATCCGTGCTCAGCCCTCCCGCCCTGCCGCCCCCCCAGCCGTGGCCAGGCTCCCGAGCCCACCTGTCAGCGTCTGGAGCTGGTGCCCTGGGTCGTAGCCACAGCCCAGCCCGCTGGCTGGAAAGCTCCTCAGCTTCTGCCACCGCCGGGCTGCCACCCAGAGAGCGCCGGCAGTCAGCAGCTTGCTGAGAAAGATGAAGGCCAGGAGGAGGAGGACGGAAGTAGGTGGAAACGGGGTCTCCCTTGAGAAAGAGAAGGAGGACACTTGGGAACCTCGAGGCGGCCTGGAAGCTGGAGTCTCCCCAGAGGGTTGGGAAAGCTCTCGGCCCAGCACATCCCGGGGGGGCTGGCGGGGCCTGCACACCACCCTCCCTCCCTGGCCCAGCGGCTGTCTGCTGTGCCCGTGGTCTCCTAAGGTGTGTGAGTGTGTGCACATGCACGTGCACTCAGTGGTTACATGAGCATTTAAACACTGACACTCAGCCATGGACCAAAGGGCGGGGACCCAGGAGTCTGGGACTGGTGCTGCGACTCTCGCTGTGGCTGAGGCATGGGGTCCTGGGCTGCCAGGGGAGGGGTGGGGGGGCTCCCCAGTCAGGCATCGGAGAGCCAAAGTGTTTCAGAAGGATTTCAGTCTCCTGTCATTGGCACCGTCACGCCAGACATGCCAGCTGACGGGCAGGGTGTAAACAGGACCTGGGAAACAGGACCTCTCCTGCTCTAATTGTCCTGGAATCTGCAGTCCTGGGACCTCCGTCCCCACCTGGCGTGGGCTCTGCAGCGCGGGAGTCTGCCAGGGTCTGCTCACTGTACCTGGAGATACTGTGCTCCACAGGGACAGCCTCGAAGCTCCCGGACTCCTCCGGGACCCAGAGGTCTTCCGTGTCCTGGTGATCCTGGGGGTCTGCGGGAGACAGAGATGTCACTTTGCAGCTCTGCCCTCCTTCGGGCCAGCTGCCTTGGTGGGGAGAACCCAGGTGGGGTCAGTGAGGCCCTGGGAGTTCCTGTTCTGCATGGAACCTCTCTGAATTTCAATTTCCTCACCTTGACAGCAGGGCTGTTAGGAACACCTCCTCCCTGCAGGAGTCAGCAGGAGCCACTCTGCGGAGTGTCTAGTGTCACACAGGCGCTCAGGGGCTGCCATCCCTCTCTCCATCACACATCCCTCCCTCCCTCCATCCAAATGGAATCGTGGATGGGTTTAAACTGTCGGGCTGTCTGCACAAGCAACGGGTTATTATTACTATATCATTTCCTGCCATCCTCTTGAGAATCGACTGAGCCTAAGACCCTGACAGGGCTGGAAATGCACGTCTCTGTGCCCCGACTCCATGAAAGAGAGGGGGGGATTGGTGTCCAGGGCTGGCAGTCGCCCCTCCTTAAGGAGATACGTTTGACCCTCGTTGATGATAAAGAGCCATACGGGGGGTCACCGGAAAAGAGGAGAGTCAGGAAGGGATCTTTGCCCTTCTTTGGGACACAGCTGTCTCCTAGAGACAGGCAGAAGGGTGGTCCCTGTGCAAAGCTCAAGGGTGTCTCTCCTCCTCAGGCCTGAAATGCTAATCTCAATTCAGTTCAGTGTCAGGAGGTCTGCCTCCGGTGTCACCCCCTGGGGTCACCAGGACAAACGCCATCATCTCCATTTAAACCACCCCCCCTTTTTTTTAGCAGTACTGGGGAAAAAAACAGGGGCCTCTCACATGCTAAGCAAGATTTTGACCATTGAGCTACACTGCCAGCCCCATCATTTCCACTTCAGGATAGGGAAATGGAGAACCGGAGAAGTGAAGCACATTCCCGAGCAAGCATTCCTTTGAGGGTTGTTTTTCTGCACCAGAAAACTTCCTTGACTGAGTGGGCAAGTGAATAGATTAATCTGCTGCCCCTTAAGGACCACCTGTAGGTGTTCACATGCTAATCAGATGTCAAATGGGTGATGCAATTTGAGAAAGTAAGACCAAGGCTAACTCAGACAATGAATGCAAATTAGAGAAAGATGCCCCGCCTACAGGTAACACAGCCCTGCACCAGGGCACAAGAGGAGTCCCCGCTGGACTTGGCTCCCTTGCACAGTGAGCAACCTGCAAAACCATCCATGGGACTCACACTGTGAGTTTTCCCAGGGACCCTATGGTCCTGAACACAGATGCCCAAAACATGAGGCCTGGCCCCAACAGCCACTCACTCACCTGCCAGCACCTCCACCAGCACCTTCCGGAGCGTGTCGGCCTCACGGCCACGGAGGCTCTGGCACTGGTAGAGGCCAGCGTCGTGGTCTTGAAGATTCCGCAGGGTGATGGTGAGGGTGCCGCCCAGGGCATCGTCCGTGATGGCCGTGCTCCCATTCCACTTCTTGAGGAAGGCCAGCAGCCACAGGCTGTGCGTACTGACAACGCGCTGGCACGGGCCCTCCTGGTCCAGTTGGCGGCACCAGGCCTTGCGCCGCCCCCAGTGCTTGGTGGAGTCGTAGGGGCAGGAGACCTGCAGGGACTGGCCCACCACGCCCTGGAGCACTGTGGTGTTGGGGGCTCCGCCTGACTCTGCAGAGGAGACATTCGTTGACTCCTCCATTTATTTACCAAATATTTATTGAACACCTGCTATGTGCAGCGAACCAAATGGACAAAAATTCTGTCCATAAGGAGCTTGTGCAAATGGGGAGGAAGAAACAGGTACCTGGCACAGCTCAGGCATGTTTTTGTGGGAATTTGGGAACCGGGAAACCTAGGTCCTGAGGCTGGTTTTCTCACTTTGTGACTTGCTGGGCATCCTTAGAGAAGAAACTGGCCCTCTCTGGGCCTCTTTCCAGAAACACATGGTTTTTAAAACCCCTCCAGTTCTCTTCTGCATTCCTTCTTCCTGTCTTAGGGGAGTAGGACCCCTCCTGTCCTGTCTTCATTTCAAGACAGCAGGGCCGCTGGCCCCTCAGGGCTGGGGCTGGTTCCCAGTGGGCTGGGAACGCGCCTGCCTGATCTGTGGCACCCACACTGGTAGTGCTCCACAGTCTCCTCTCTCCTGACCTTGAGCCTCCAGCTTCCCTATTTCTGTGGCTTTGTTCCCCTTTCAGGAAGGACTTGTTTCAGAACTATTTTGGGAGAGGCATGAGGCTGCTATTTTGGGCATCCTCTTTGGGGTGGAGGAGACAGACGTGGAGACCCCGCTTCTTGCCAGGCAGGGGCTACCAGGGAGTCACCCGGAGCCTCCTGCCTGGGCCTCTTTCCTGCCCACCCCCGTCTCCAGCCATTATTGTGACAGAAACTGGAAAGGTCAGACCAAGAAGCTGACGATCTGCCTTTTTTGGAACCAGAGACACCAATGCGCAGTGGCCCCCCAACGCATCCCCTTTCATCCATCCCCCTGCCTCCAGCCGGGCCACCAGGGGCCACCACGCACCTCCTTTCCTCTCCCCCTCCACCAGGAGCTGCGGAAACAGACTCCATCACCTCTCCTCAACCCAGGTTTTCTACTGCCTTGGGGAGCGAGAAGTACCATTCCCCAATGGAAGAGGCCATCATGTGCAAAATTGGGGGTGTCAGTGCCCCCAACTCGGTGGCCAAAACCCTTATTCCATACCTCCCATCAAGAGCTGAGGCCAAGGGGACCTTCCAAGGGTGAGAGGGTCCTCTCCCAGATGCAGGACACAGTTCCAGGTCTTTCCTCCTTCCTTCCCTCTCTCCCTGCCACTCCCTGGAAGCTGGTCTTGTGCTTAAGTGATTCATAATTTTAGGGGCTCCTACCAGTGCCCCCCAAACTTCCCCCGACTGCCAGCCAGAGCCTCAGATGCCACCGTCAGCATTCTCTCCTTCCCATAAGACTGGGGGCCAGAAGTCCCTTCAGCCTCCATCCCACCAAGGTGGGCCCATGTGGGTTTGGATGGGGGGGGGGAGGGGCAGGCACGAAGACCCCCGGCAGGGTGGGGACGCTGTGCAGAACAGGTCACTTGGGCGAGGCAAGGACTTCCATCTGCCTCATAGTTCAGCCCAGTGCCAGCTCCCCGCCTCCACCTAGTCATATGTTCAAGGAAGGGGAGGGAAAGAAGGAATGGGGGGGGGGGGGACCTACCTGTGACAAAGAGCAGGATGAGCAGCCAGAGAGGCTCCATGCCTCCCACCCTGGCCAAGGGCTGATGTGCCTTGTGCAAGATCTTGTCTTTCCCTTGAACTGCAGAAGAGAGAGGGACCCACACGTCAGGCGCTGCGCACAGGAAACTGGGCTCCTGGCCATTGAGCAACACCAGGGCTGGGGTCTGGCTTCGTGATTCAAGGAGGGGCTGCGTGGGAGGAAGGGAGAGGAGGAGCCCGCACTGCAGCCCGGCTGGAGGAGGCCGGGGATCCCAGACCTCTGAGAGGCCAGCCACCACCGGCCAGTGCCAGCCCCGGTGACCCCACAGGGCTGGGGCCACTCAGTCAGTCTCCGGGCTGGGCCTAGCCGGGTGGTCACTATGCCCACAGCTGCATGCCAGCCATCTGCCGGTGCTGGGCTCCCTAAGGACGGAGGACAGCTGCTCCTCTGGGAGGACATGACTCACATTCAGCCCTTCTAGTCCTTCCCCCCCGACTGGCACCCCAGAGTGTGGTAGCCTCTGTGAACATGGACCCAGACTTCCTTCTCCACGTCTGCCCTTCCTTGCTCCTGGTGTCTGTGACCACACGCCCAGAACCCCTCCGTGCCTCCGTCCCCGTATCCGTAAATGAACATGATGATAATATATGGCGCTGTCGGAGGGTGACATAGATTCCTACAAGTAAAGGGCTTCTGAACAAGGCTCAGGAAGCACAGCACGAGTACTAACCGTGACTATTACCTAGTTAGCAGGAGAAAGGGAAAATGGGTTGTCCCCCAGAGGAAGGAGTCTCTCTCTCATTTGAAATGTCCTCCAGCGTGGCCTCCTTTGACCAGTGGGTGTTTGCTGCGTGACATGCTCGCACCAGCATTTATTCTATGCACAGGGCACGACGCGAAATCCTGACCATCCAGTGGGACAGAGTAGGACATAGCACTTCCCAGAGTCCTTGGGTACGGGTGTTTTTCCACAGGTACAGGTTCCCCCAAAGAGTTACCCAGGCACAAGGACTCACATGCAATGGCACAAAGGTGGGAAGTGGCCCAGAGTCTGGGATGGGGGTGGGGGAGGTTGAAGCAATTCCCAGGGGCAGGAATTAAGTTGTGTTGGGAGTCATGGTGGGAGAGGCTGGGCGCTGTGGAGACTGCACAAGATCAGGCTCTAGTCTCTGGTGGACACGCATCTATTCTTCTTCTTTTTTTTTGGGGGGGGGGTGGTTTGGTTTTGTTTTTTGTTACTGGCGATTGAACTCAGGGACCCTTAACCACTGAGCCACATCCCCAACCCTTTTTTGTGTTTTATATAAAGACAGAGTCTCACTGAGTTGCTAGGGCCTTGCTAAGTTGCTGTGGCTGGCTTTGAACTCACCATCCTCCTGCCTCAGCCTCTCGAGCTGCTGGGATTACAGGTGTGCACCATCACGCCTGGCTTATTTGTTCTTTATTCACGTATTTACTCAGATCTGTTGTGGCCTGGCCGTGAGAACAGGAAGTGTAGTTGGAGATGGGAGTTCAACTGCCTACCCTTAACCTGAAGGCTCAGGGTCACTGGCTTCCTCTGTTTGCCCCCTTTTGGAATTTTTTCTTCATCAGGTTTATTGGTGAATAATTTGTATGTAAAACAAAACAAAAAAAAAACACAACTTGTCCTTTGGGGGCATCCAGTTCTATGAATTTTGACAACCTCCTACATCTGTGCAACAACCACCCGGTCACCAAGGCCATTACTAACACTGTAGTAGAAAAGCCTTCCAGAGCCCAAACTTAGCCAGCCTCTTCCTCTCCGATTTTAGGCCCTGGCAACTACCCCGTTGACTTCTGTCCCTGCAGCCTCCTGCCCTCCTGGAGTGCCGTCTGCGTGGAACCACATGTAGCCTTTTGAGTCTGTCTTCCTTCACACAGCACAATGCATTCGACATGTGAGAAGCTGTGTTTCTCAGCCATTCATTTCTTTTTACAGAACAGTATTTTGTTGGATGGCTGGACCACAGGGACTTCAGCCATTTACTGACTGATGGACATTTGGTTGGTTTCCAGTTTGGGAAAATTGTGAAAAAAAAGCTGTGACTTTCATGTTTATAAACATTTATGCATCTAAACCTTCATGTATACACAACTCATATAGATGAGCATGCAGGTATTTATCTTTTGTGAGGACATATTTTCCATTTCTTTTGGATAAAGTCCTAGGAGTGGGAGTGCTGGGCCATACGTAAGTGAATAGTTATCTCTATAAAGGCCAGTTTCTTCCAAGAAGCTTCCCAACACCTGATATTGTCAGAATTTTTTTATCCCCCCCTCTCCACCCCCAACTCCTCCATCCCCCCCGCTCTCCCTCCCCCCAGCACCCCCCCTGCACCCACCCTTAAATGCTTGGGATTGAACCCAGGGCCTCACGCATGCTAGATAAGCACTGAGCTACAACCCCCAGTCCCGTCAGATTTTTTAAAAAGCCTTTTTATATATTTATGGTGATATCTCATTATGGATTTAATTTGCATTTTCCTAATATCTAGTGATATGGAGCATCTTTTCATTGTCATCTGCATATCTTTGGTAAAGTATTTTTAGTTCAAATCTTTTGTCTATTTATTATTTATTATTACCATTATTATTAAGTTGTGAAAATTTTTCATATTCTGGATACCAGTCCTTTATTGGATATGTGATTTGCAGATACTTTCCTCTAGTCTGAAAATTGCTTTCTTCCATAGCAGTGTCTTTCAAATGAATAGACAATTTTAATGTTAATGAATCCAATTTATTAATTTTTTATTTTATGTATCGTATTTGTGTGTATGTGTGTGTTCTAGTAAGAAACTTTGCCCACCTCTAAGTGACAAGAACTTTCTCCTGTATTTTCCATTAAAGGTTTTGCCATTTGGGATTTTACATTTTTGTCTAGGCTCCATTTTTTAGTTGATTGTTACATGTGGTGTAAAATATAATCAGAAAGGGATGTTTGGGCATGTGGATTGTACCAGTGTCACTTGTCAAGAAGACTGTCCTGAGCTGGTGCCGCAGTCTGGCTGGGCACAATTCACGAGCCACTTGTCAAGCAGAAACGAACTTTATTTTTAGAACACACGCTGCACCACACAAGCTCTTCAGGAATTCCCTCAGAGTCCAACTGCCACCACCAGCTTTGGGTGAGCCTCTCAACCCCCACTCCTCCCACTCTTGAGGCTGATTGGCTGGGTCGCGTGGGTGGAGCCAAAAGAGTCCCCCAGTGAGCAGCTCCATGGTCTGAAAGAGCGGGAAACAGCCCAATGAGCATCACTGCAGAGGAGCCAATCAGCTGGAAGTTTGCTGGGGCCACTTTGGCTGTGGCTCTCAACAAGCTAGGGTTGTGGCTCAGTGATAGAGCACTTGCCTAATATGTGTGAGGCACTGGGTTCAATCCTCAGCACCAAATTTTTAAAAAATGAAATAAGGTTATTGTGTTCATCTCTAGAAGTATTTTTAAGAAAACTGTCCTTTCTCCATTGGATTGCCTTAGTGTCTCTATTGAAAATCAGTTGGCATGGAGGTCTATTTCTTGGTGGTGGTGGTGGGGTTACTGGAGATTGAACTCAGGGGCATTCAACCACTGAGTCACATCCCCAGCCCTATTTTTTATTTTATTTAGAGACAGAATCTCATTGTCTTGCATAGTGCCTCAATTTTGCTGAGGCTGGCTTTGAACTTGTGATCCTCCTGCCTCAGCCTTCAGAACTGCTGGGATTATAGCCCTACACCACCACGCCTGGCAGAGGTCTATTTCTTAATTGGCAGTTGAGTTCCACTGACCTACACATCCATCTCTTTACCAATATTACGCTGTTGCGACTGCCTATTGTAATTTATCGTAAAACTTGAAATCAGGTTGTGGTCCTCCAAAATGATTTTGACTATTCTAGTTACTTTAGTTTAAATTTTACAACTGGGTTATTGATTTCTACACCCACTCGCACACACACACACCTGCTGGGCTTTCTGTTGAAACTGCATTGACTGGCACCGTTTGAGAAGAAACAGACACCTTAGCAAATATTGAGCCTTCTACCCGATGGACAGTTTAGCTCTTCATTCATTCGCTTCTCCTGTCTCAATGATTTCTAGTCTTCCACATGCAAGTCTTGAATTTTAATTTTACCAAAGCATTTCATAATTTCGGTGCTATTTTAAATGTTTCTAGCTTTCTAAATCTTAGAACTCAGAAGTTCCATAAATCTTTATCTCACTTTCTGACCCATTAATGCTCCATTCTGGTTCCTTCTCCCACTTCCTTCCTACCCAAGGCAAGGGTCTCATTTATTACTTTAAACCCTATAGCAAAGGACAGGCATCAAGAAGTATTTACCAGTCACTTGCAGCATGTGCACAACAAACATCCCCTTTTTCTAGTGCATGCTGATTCGTGGTTCCTCTGACCCTCATTTCTGAGTGCAGGAACATTTCTGCACTGTCCTAAGCCAAGCCCAGGCTCCTTCCTTTTCCTGCACTACATCTGGGTCCAAAGACACCTGCCAGCTCACAGCTGGGCACCGAGACACCTCCACTCTATTGGACACCCGAACCTCATCGTTCACAGATGCGTGCGTTCATCCAACCACCAGGCATGTGCCGGTCACTGTGCTGGGCAGCTTGGGTCTCTTGGAGCCTTGGTGATCCTAGATACATTGGTGACTTTGCTGAGAAAAGCCCCAGAAGCTTGGCTAGCACTGACATGGCACGCACAGGACACATGACATATTCCTAAGGTCTAACTTCAGCCGAGACCTCAGAGCGGCTGGACAGTCCTTCTCAGAATTCCTGGAGGCTCCCGGGTGAGCTCCCTATGGTGGCTGCTCAGAATCGTGGCTCTCCCCAAACACTCCTCCTCCCCTAGGATCAACCCAGACCATCCTCACCATCTTTCAGATCCTCCATCCTCCTCCCATCCCCACTCCGGCCCATCTGAGCAGCCAGGGAAGCACCAGATTCCTGCCAGGACCGCGGCCAGTGCCAATACCGGCTCAAGCTGGGGGCCAGTGTGCCGGGAACCTGTGGCATAGGAACAGGCCTCTCAGTGGG